GTTCCTAAAAGTAGTTTAATGATGCGACGTTTATTTCGGATCATAATTTCCGATTGAGTATTTCATAAATGATAAAAAACTTTTTCATCATCAAGATGTAAAAGGTTTCTAGCAAGTAATTTCTTAATGTAAGATACAAGGCTATGCATTTTTTACCTCATTTGCAAGTATTAACTAAACCTAATAGCGTAATTTTTTCCTGCTTAAAAGAATTCATATATTAATAATACTAGTATTAGTTTTGTGCTCTCTGACACACCCGAAAAGGTTAAATTAAAGTGTTTTTGCACTAATTCTAGCTTTCTACTGTTATTAATACTTCAGCTTTTATACTAGGTTCAGCTACCTAGATCTAGACATTCCTCGAGCATGGAATGGGCAAAGCGCTTTATACAAATAAGCTAAATTTTGCATGGAACTTCAAGTTGTGTGTTTGAATTGAGTTACATTCTAAATTCTCCTATTAAAATGAATGCTTTATTGTTTCTATAAATTTGTAATAAAAAAATATTAAAACTTTTTACATGAAACATATAATAATTTTACAACGTTTTATTATTCAAACAGTATTCAGCTTTTTATATCATTTTTTATTTCTTTGTTAACTTACATAATGATTTCAAATTAATTAAATAAATTAAGTTATAAGAATTTTACGTTATTCATAATGTTATTTTTTTTTTCTCTGCGTCATGTACTTACTTAAAATGGACGCTTTACTGAAAATCTAATTATCAACAGTGTGATTATATTTTTCTGTACATGACGTAATCAAATTATTATCCTACTTTTATGGGAATGAATAATTATATATATGGAGAGAGAAAGAGAGATAATAAAGTAAAATTATTACCATAAAAATCTTCTGGATTTATGGCTAACACAATATTTCTAATTATTAAAGAAAAATAAAGATGAAGATAAATTTCAAATTCCTTAGACGCATATAAGAAAAGCATTCAACTATCTGTGGCAAAGATTGGCTTTTGAGTAAAAGATTCAATATCTACAATAATTTCAAAATAAATTAAATTCATGAAAAACATTAAAATTTAAAAATGATGTAGCAGAATTATCATCATCGAATTCATAATGTTTTCAGTTGGATAAAATCTGACAGTGAGGCAACAAACCTATATCTGCCCTACTATGTATATTTTTGTCCATCCTAAATTAGCAGAAATAACTAAATTTTTATACTAAATTTATTTATTCCTCTGAAATTAATGGGGCCCACCAGTGGCCGAGCGGTAAAGTCGCTGAACACTGGTAGTTCGGTCCGAGGTTCGAATCCCGCGAAAGGGCTGGCTGCATGGGCCTTTCGTGGTTTTCCCCATGTGTAACGTGTATACGAGCCAGTTTTCCTTAGAAAGCCCTCCACGAAGGCATCCCTCCCCTTAGGCAGATAGCCCTAGTGTGCTTTGCCATAATTAAATACACACACACTCAAATTAATGACGCCACCCCTACACATCAACTTTATCAAACCGTAAGTAGAAGCAATATTCAAAATGAAATATAACGGAAAAGACACTTTTACATGGGGTTAAAATGCACAAAAAATTTACCAAAATCGCGCAAACAAAAATTTTTGTTTTAAATGCTTTAAATCCATCCAATATTGAATTTGAAACAGACAACATGAAAAATCCAAAAAGCAGAAGTCTAGTGGCAAATCTCAAATGGGAGAACAAAGCATGCCAAAACTGAAAATGAAAAACATATATTTAACGTCTTCGCTGCATCGTTATCAAGGGTTTGGTGCTACGGAAGAAATAAATAAAAAATAACCAGTTTCTAAACTGACACGGACACAAATTAAAATGTAAAAGTCAAAAATAATCTTAGGAAAAGTAACCTTAGAAAACAATCAACGTAATATGTGTTTTACCAACCCTACTTCTATGGTCAGAAGTGCAAAAATTGCAGAATCAAAAAAGGAGACAAATTCAAAACGATTGCGAAATATTAGACATTTTTAAAAAAATGAGTGGATTGAGTACAATAATAAGTCTTGAAAAAATAATAATCCAACACTTGAAAAACAAAACTATATGCAATTTTTTAAAATTCAAAATTGAAAACACAGAAGTAAATGCGAATTTTGAAAACATGCAGGCCGGATTAAAAAAATAAAAGATAATTCAGAAATAAGTAAAACGGCTTAAAGCTTTTTTAATTAATTAATTTAAAATTAGTATTTAGAAAAATTAATAAATACTTTTAGTAAACAATTTTTAAATATTTTTAATTAATTTAAAATTAATCCCCGATGAAGAAAAATGCAGCTTTGTGATAGTCTACATAGTTGAAAATTTGCATAAACCGACGGAATATTTAAATATACTAATGCAAGTTTATGTAATAAAGCAGCACCATTCAGTTTATAAAAGAAGGATTAAGACGCCGAATAGCATCACGAATGTGAACTATGTTCAACATGCATCTCATTTTAACTCAGCACACATAACTTTTGAAGCTCTTTCCACCAAGCGGATGAAACTGCCATTCTTTATGGGTTTAGAAGTCACAACAGCTATGTAAGGGTCCTTTATCATTCAAGGCATTAAAATGCTTGATTCAGAAATTTGTAGGATCCTTACTTATTCAGACTGATAAGGGGCGAAAACCTGAGTCAGAACAAAGAGGTACTCATGCCGAGACTGCAGCCATTTGACAACATCGATAAGACTATTGCTGATAGTAGCTGTCCAGGTTACGAGCGCAAAAACTGGATTCAAATTTTTCAGCGGTATGGAAAAATCTGGAAAGTTCTCACTTCTACAGTTTGTCTTATCATAAAAAACCTCTCGCCATTTAGTCTACAGCCGTCTGTTGCCGTAGAAACGAGCCTTTACCCATTTTCCGTAGAGGTGTCTTGAAGACGAATGATAACTCTTTTCCCCTCAGCCAAGAGTCACCAAAAACAAAATAACAATAAAGCAAGTCTTGGCTCGCCCCTATTTGAAATATACTAGCCTTGTTGCTGTGCCGACCGTCACCTGCCATACACTGTGGCGGGAGTGTTCTTCTCGTAGACAGACAGTACTTATACGAGATATGGCGCGCGCAGTAATTAAAGCACAACGATTATGATAAACAAGTGGCATTTCCACTAAGACCAGTTATTTGAAAGATACTTAATCATTCAATGATTTGAAAACACTAACACATAAGACCTTTGCGTCCTGATAAAATGTATGTCTAATACGTATCATAGTTATTATGCAGCTTTCTGTTTCAAACTGACTGAACTGCTTTAAGACTAATTATGTATCTTCTTCCTTTCAGAAGATGTGGTAATCTTATATTTAATTTTACAACGATTACAAAGAACATTACTAATGAGACCCGAGTTCGGATCTTGGCGAATGGTTTATCTGCATAGGAGTTTTCGTGTTTTTTCTGCATGTGTAACGTGAATTTCACCCTTTAGCCAGATAGTTCTAGTGCGCTCTGTCATAATCCAAGGCAGTCATCAACCTAACCTGAAAACTATACATCGATACTGAACGATCGATACTGAACATCGATACATCGATACTGAACGAATACTGAACTTGCAGTTAGAAAAGCCATAGCCTTCGGTATTTGGTTACAATTAGCAATAACGTCTTCTTATGTTGGACTGCGAAGTCATCTCTGAGAAAATACAATAGATATATGACAACCACTGAAGTATGGAAACAAAACCAAGTATCACGCTGAAATACTTTGTCTTGCTTCTGTACTTCAAGGATGAAAGCATTTCAAAGAGCATAATGTGCCAAAGATGGAAAACAGACGTTCTACTAAGATTTTGGTTATATTAGTTATGGATGTTTATATTGTTAATTTATAGACAAGCTATGCAAAACATCTTAAAGATACATTTGAGAAAAACTATGAGGATTAAAGGACCACATTCGTTGAAGAAGCAGTGGTCTTGCTCCAGAATAATACCTGGTCGCGTAATATTATTTGAGTCATTCTTTGAATCCAAACAAAGACAATTACAATACCTTCCATATTTCCCCACATTCACGTGACAAATGAATGGACAGAACTGCTCTTCCGATGGGCAAAAGTAAAATGCTAAAGCCTGTATACTAAAATAGATGTCACAAAATACTATTTTTAATATTTTGTATCGTTAACGAAACTATGAAAATTTAAATTTTGATGCTAAATTTTCTACTTTAAAAATACAGTTTAGTAAATGTTCCTTGAGGCGACTAATTTTGAGAAATTTGAAAGTGTTTAATCACGTTATATAACTTCATTTGACTTAACTATATTAAGTTTTATTTGCTTTCTGATCTTACATAGTTAAACACTGCTTTTACAGAAAGAGGAAAATAGTACCTTTTCTGGTCTATTATATTTCATTTAGAATTCTTGCTCTTAAATTCTGAAAAAATTAAAAAATTTGGAAATTATTTCAAAAAATTTTTTAATTAATTAAAAGTAACAAACTAGAAGTAGATATTTAGGATACTGTAAACATTCACCAAAATTACGGAAAGTAAAATTTTGGTAATTAATAAAATGAAGGCTAGATGTTCTTCAAAGTTAAATTGGAATTACTTAATTTACTCAGAGTATGAATTTGCTTTTTATTTCCAACGTATCATATCAGCTCGTATCAGCTTTGACGGATTTATTTAGGATATCTTTTTATAAATTTATAGGACTTTTTATAAATTTATAATTTTAAGATAATAATGTTGCTATTGGGTTTCTTAAAATATGTGTAGAAATTTTAACTAATGACGCTTTATTTTTCGTATTTATTTTATTCAGTAACATTTATAAAATATTCCATGTCTACCTTCTGAAAAAAATACAAACATTTATGATATTATCATAAAATAATTAATTAAATAAATTAATGAAATATACTCATTAAGTGTACTCGTATTACACGTTTCCCCTAATTTATCACATTTATATATCATGTATTATGATTATATAATACCAGAACAGATATATAAAATGTTTTAACTGATTTTCATATTTACCTCTCCATTTGCTTCATTTCAGAGTTTTCTAGTTGGCTTTCATCTATATAAAAAAAGAAAAAGTCATATTAAATTATAATTTCTTTTATGTTTTCAATACTAGATATGTCCCCAAATGAAATGGATGTTTAATCATTTAAATACACAGTAGGGCTATTTTTTAATCTGCTGTTAAAAAAACCTAACGCCTTTGAAATTTTTTATTGAGCTTAAATGTGGTTCATAAAAGGCATTAAATTAAATAAATATTAAAATTAAAATCTCTGAGATCTTAATGCACTCATCATCAAATCCACTTGAAAATTTGAACTTCGTATCTTTGTCCATATTGGCAATAGTATAGAAAGATTGAATGGTTAAATATTATCGCTCGAGTAATAAAGCATGCATAAATTGATATGAAACATTTAAAGGTAACAGTCATCTCTTCCTACACTCATTCGATTGTTAACACAGGACGATTATTCTCACAATGTCGTTCCTTATAACCAAATGCTACTATTGAATCAGAATTGCATATAAAGACCATGTTTTTTCTTCTCTCGAATTTCTCTAAAAAATGAGTTTGCCATAGCTGATAATTTTATCCTAAGTAAAATTTAACAAAATATTTTTAGAGAGAAATGAGTCAAAAATGAATTACGTAAAAGACAAGATAACAAAGCCTATCTTGCTTTTACTTATATTCACTGTTAATCCTAACTTTACATTACATACGAGGGAAACAATATTTCATTCAGTTACTGATGAAGAATTTGGAAATTTTTTTGAATTATCAATTTCGCTGAAATATTCAGGTAGTTTTGCATTAATTTAATGGAAAGTATTTTGAAATTCGTCTAAACAACATTTATTCCAAACAACATTTATTTAAAGAATAAAATCTTTCAATCAGGCAAGGATACAAATGTCTGAATGTGAATTTTATTTGCATCAATAATGCTCTCATATTTGAACTATCAGAAAGAAAGTAGTAACATATATATATATAGAAAGCTTTATTAAGAAATTGTCAAGCATCCTTTACTACAAACATGCACAAAATTAAGAGAACTTGCAAATTATGTCTATTTCTACGAAACGTATTGAACCAAATTCATTAATTACGCCTTGAAAAATTAGGCAAGTATTGAGAGTCAACTACATAGACTTAGGACCACGTAAAATAAAAATATGTGGAGGGAATATAAACTCACAGGGCGTTTTCAGCGATTTCTATGCTCGTACTCATTCACGACATTCGCCGTATGCCTCGTTAAGATTTGAGTACTTTTTATACGGCATCTGGTAAAATGAGTAGCCAGGGACATTGGGATGACATAATGACATGTACAGCTTTCGGTAGCTTGGACGCAAGCCAATCACAGGCGCAGGCGACTACATAGCTCAATGCAACGCAAAGTATCATTTGCAATTTGTGGAAACATTTTCAGGGTACTTAATTCATATGGAGGATACATAAAACAGATCAACTATGATTCCCACCGACGACTTATTTGGCACTTTCTTCGAGGAGACACAGGACTGCTACATATTTACGTGAGTGTACAGTTCTCACATGAGTTGTATGCTGCCACTGACACTACTGACAGAGTTTCACGGTCTACGGTTCCCCGAATTTATCAGGAGATCTTACAGCCATATGTTTGACGCTTCAGAGGCGCAATTCGTCCTAGGTTCCTATTAATGGACCACAACGCTCATCCACATAGGGCTCAGCTTACCGACGAATTCGTAGACTGTAAGAATATTTACCGCATGCATTGGCCAGCCAAATCCTTAATCCTATAGAGCAGTGGTGCGCAAACTAGGGGTCGCCAGAAGTTTTTTTGGGGTCGCCAAATTTTTATGAAATGCATTATGCCTGCATGCTGCATACCATACAGTGTACATATAAAGAGTGAAGCGCCGTCACTCACTGTTTAATTGCAATTTCATGCTGTCCGCTCTTTCTTTGACCGTAGCGCCCTCTTCGCGGTAATTCGCCAGTTTTACTGAAAAGCGCCTATTTGACTAGACGTTAATTGCAGGGAAAGGGGGAAAATTCGGTTCCGTGATCAGCCAATCAGATGGCGAAGTACGCGAGGTATCTGATAGACTGAAGACGTGAAGTGTTCTCATGAAGTTGTAGCATGCAGCAGTTGGCACAATTGTTTTAGTTTGTTTTCGAGTTTTATCATGTGACGTTGTGTAATTATGATATTTATAATTTTATCGGGCTTTGCTACTCTTTGTTAACAGGTATGTACTATCATTAGAGAAAGATCTCTGTTAATTTTATTGAATTTCTCGGAAAAAAATGATAAAATTTTATATATTATTTGTTTTAGTTTAAATAATTTAACCCCTATCTTCATAATGGATAAATGGGTAATACGTACACCAGATACATCTTCAGCTAACATACGAAAAAATACTGATGAGGAGTCGCAAAATACTGAACTAAATTCCCGATCTAAAAAAATAAGAAAATACAATGACGAATTTATTAAGTATGGTTTTACATTTTGTGTTGTTGATGATGAAGAACGCCCGATATGTGTCATTTGCAACGAAAAATTAGCAAATGAGAGCATGAAACCAGCTAAATGAAAAAAGCACTTGGAAACTAAACATAAAATTCTTCAAAATAAACATGCCGATTTTTTTCAAAAACGAGCTGAAAATCTGAAAATTCAAAGTGCACATTTAAAGAAATTTACAACAATACCTCAGAAAGCATTACGAAGTTCTTTAGAAGTTTCTTATCTAAAAGGAAAAACAATGAAACCCCATACAATTGGAGAATCCCTTATCCTTCCTGCAGCATTTAAGATGACATCAATTATGCATGGCGATAAATATGGATATGAACTAAAAACAATACCATTATCAAGAGATACCGTATCTCTGCAGATTTCCGAAATGTCACGAAATATCGAGTCAGAAGTCATAAAACGCATACAAAATTCATCTGTATTTGCTTTACAACTGGACGAGACTACCGATATTACTAAAATGTCACAACTAATTATTTACGTTAGGTTTATTTTTAATGAAGATATAACAGAAACGTTTTTATGTTGCAAAAGTTTGGAAGGAAAAACAACTGGAGGAAAAATATTCGAAGTAATAAATGAATATTTTGAAACAAAGTCCCTTACCTGAGCAAACTGCGTTGCGGTTTGTACTGATGGTGCTGCAGCATTAACAGGTTCGAATAAGAAGAAAAATATTCGAAGTAATAAATGAATATTTTGAAACAAAGTCCCTTACCTGGGCAAACTGTGTTGCGGTTTGTGCTGATGGTGCTGCAGCATTAACAGGTTCGAATAAAGGGCTCAGAGGCTTTATTCAGAAGTTGGCGCCTCATATGGTATTTAATCACTGCATGATTCATCGGCAAACTCTTGTTGCAAAAGGTATGGATGAAGAGTTGCACAACATATTACAAAACGCTGTTAGTTCAATTAACTACATTAAATGCAACAGCCACAAGAGCCGTCTCTTTTCAATACTTTGCAATGAGATGGGCTCAACGTGTGAGAGATTACTGTTACATACCGAAGTCAGATGGCTTCGGAGTCAGATACTACGACGGATATTTGATTTGTAAATGAAGTGTACATGTTTTTAATCGAAAAGAAACATAGATTGGCAAGTTATTATATCAATGAAGTTTGGCTAGGGAAGCTGAGCTATTTAGTTGATATTTTCGAAAAACTTAACGACTTAAATTTGAGCTTGCAGGGTGAGAATTCAACTATCATAACTTCAGCCAGTAAAATTCAAGCTTTTAAGAATAAGCTTAGTCTCTGGCAAACTGAACTGAATAAAAACAACACCGACATGTTCCCTTGCTTTAACGATTTTATCAAGGAAAATAATATAGATATATTTACATTTAAAAACATCATTTCCAATCACATTGAAAAGTTAAAGGAAAATTTTTCGAGAAGATTCGAGGATTTTCCTGAAAACGATCTTGGTTGATTTCGTGATCCATTTTCCTTTGACATATGCAGTTCAACTCTTCAAATTAGTGAGAAATAGCAATTGATAGATCTAATTAGTGATTATACTCTTCTAAATCAATTTAAGACTCAGCTTTGCCAAAAATTTTGGCTATCCGTGGAAAAACAATATCCCGTTTTATGCAAGAATGCCATCAAAGTGTTAATACAATTTGCATCAACGTATTTATGCGAAACTGGATTTAGCAAACTAGTTTCAATAAAAACTAAATACCACTCGCGTTTAAACCCTGACGATGATATGCGAATTGCAATTAGCAACATACATCCAAACATCGATGAGATAATTAGAAACTTGCAGCCACATACATCTCATTAAAATGCAATTTACTGTTTTTTGTGTTATACAAAAAGTATTTTCTTAAAATTATAAATAAAATTAATATGAGTCAGATATGATGATGTTTTTATTCGATAAAACGAAAGAAATGCGCGAAATATACATCGCACTCGGCCCACCAGCGGCCGAGCGGTAAAGTCGCTGAACACTGGTAGTTCGGTCCGAGGTTCGAATCCCGCGAACGGGCTGGCTACATGGGTGTTTTCGTGGTTTTCCCCATGTGTAACGTGTATACGAGCCAGTTTCCCTTAGAAAGTCCTCCACGAAGGTATCCCTCCCCTTAGGCAGATAGCCCTAGTGTGCTTTGCCATAATTAAATACACCACACCACTACATCGTATTTGTGAACATTTATCTCTAGGGGTCGCCAACAATTTTCTATCCACAAAAGGGGTCGCAGTCGAAAAACGTTTGCGCACCACTGCTATAGAGCATATCTGGAACACTCTTAGGAGAGCAATATCATCTGGCCATCCCCTTCCGAGACCATCCCGGAATTGAAAAATTATTTTCTGCAGCAGTGGGATCGACTGCCATGGGGACTCCTCAACTTCCTCCTGGGTAGTATGTCATCACGCTGCGGGACATGTCTGGCTGTCACAGGCGACAATCCCTCATATTAGACTAATTTTCAGTTCGACAGCTGATCATTTTCAGGTCAATGTGGATTTTAGTCATATCTGCACTATGAGCTTCACTGCTAATCATGCATATATGGCTTTTGAAAAGGTACCTCTCTTTCATATTAAATTTGATTAAAAATTGCCCGTTATTTTTTGATATATTTGACATAATATGCTAACGAATATGAATAAAGAGCCCTGTATTTTCACGAAAATATATCTTATTAATTAGAAGGTATTTCCCGATATATTGGGAACATATTTTCTACTGCAAGAACAGCGTCCCCCCCAAAATAATATCTTTAAATGGGGATATAATGGAATTTCAATCTGTTTTTTCACCTTAGATTCGAAGCGGAAGGATATCAATCGCTAGATATCATTTCACGGGCAACATAAAAATTTAGTCAATTGAGAAACATACCGAGTATTTTCTATCAGATGATATCCAAATTTATTGCATAAGAGAAATGTAACATTTATGGCCTGTAGATGCATAGCAGTTTTTAAATATAATTCAAGTATTAGATTCTTAAAATTCTACAGTAATCATTAAAAGTTAAACTGTTATAATACTGAATCTTTTCATTCAAGTCATCCTAATTCATTCAAAAACTATTTCTCATCAACTTTTAGTCAAGTACTACTCTTCCCTCTTCATTCAAGAACTCTCTAATAAAAAACTATACTCTTATTCTAAACTCTTTACAAAACTAGTATTCTTAGCCCCTACTATTCTCATACATTATGTAGATCATTTTCAAAATGTTTAATGATCCCAATATTTACTTACGTATTTATTTAGATATTTTGTATATGTATATACAAATGTTTATTTTTTTAAAATTTTTATTATATAATTCTCAAAATTCTGATACTATATTGACTTCATATATAACAACACAACATTGTACTTAGGCATTTATCTAATTCTAGATATTTAATTTTTATTTATTGTAATCTATTTATGTATTTATATATTTATTTCTTAATATTTAATTTTTATTACGTAATTTTCAAAATTATGAAACTTTACTGAATTTTATATATAACAGCACAGTTGGTAGATGATTCCATCAGTTGAGCATAAAAGCTGAATGGCTTACATGGGGTGCAGCTGCTCATCTAATGGTAAATAAATAATGCAGATTCTAGTTTTACGTCTACATATGAATTCGTATCAGTTATTCAAAGAGTTAGAACTCATTTATTTAATACCAGAAAATATTTTTTTCATAAATTCATAAAAATAGCCATTTTGAGATAGAAACACATTTTTAAAATACCTTATTCTTAAATAAAATATTGTTACGTGAACAAATTGCATAGAAAAAATATACTTAGATTAATCAAGATGCCTTCCTTTTTATAGAAAAAAAATAATTTTTGCACTATGTGTTTTTGCATTATCTTACCTCCAGCATTAGAGGGCATTGCAGCAGAAACTACGACGAATACAACAGCAAGTATCATAAAAGACTTAAAGAAGTTCATTTTTCAAAGATTTCGTTTCCTAAAACAAGAAATAAGCGAGATTAATAAGTAATTCTTAAAATATTTACAAGATGTAATTTAAAAGTAATAGTAAAAAAAAGTGCTTGAAACAACCAAATAAGTACTAATTCAAGCCACAAGATACCCGTAAAATGTCTTATGTATACGAGGTGCAGATCTTTGATGAAAACGGTTAATTATTCTGCCGATTAATGAACGTCACGATTATTCTTCATCTTCATCTCCATTTAATGAATTTCACAGTTCATTAAATTTATTATTGCGGTTTTGTCAATTATGGCGAATAGTTCTTAATTAGCGGTAGTTTGTGTCATGAATACATGAATTCTGTAAGATTTATTTTGATTTTGTCCAATAAATAACTTAACTTGATAAATAACTTAGCAATCGCTGTTTGTACCTAAGTAAATTGCGTCAGGAGATAATTTTTTGCTTTCGAATGGTAAATGAAACGCCACGACTTTCGAATGCTACAACCTTTTAATGTGTTTTCATAACAACTGTGAGCTTCAAGTAATAAAATCAACAATCAATATTAAAACCAATAATCGCTATGTAATACACAGTGAATTACATACATATCAGTTAAGTATTAAAATTAAAAGATACTAAGATTAAACGTGAAACACTACTTTCATCACTTCTCTTTCAAATTATTAACTTTCTGCGAAGAAAAAATTTGATAACTTTTGAAATATGCCGAATGACATAAAGTAACATACCTCCGGACAAAAGATTCGATTTTAGAAATAGAAAAGCATTTACATTATTTTCCTAGGATGAAGCTAATAGATTTTAAAGATACTCAGATAAAATCTTCATTATATAGTTAAATTCTAAGGGGAGAAACTCATATAATGCTTGCTGTAAAATTAGCTGCAAGTGCATCCTTAAATGCCTAACGTTAAATTTTAGAACTACGGTCGCTCAGTAGATTCTGCTATCATAATATTTAGAAAACACCATGGCAAGGGACTTCAAGGGTCCTACTAATACGATGCCTTCACTTATGAATTTTACAAACTGTAACAACATTTTATAACTGAAATAACCTCATGGACACCTACCTCTTTAGTATTATTATTACAATTCATTATAACATTGTGTTCCCATTACTTATTATAGTTATCTATCTATGTTTATCTGTATACTAATCATGTTTGTCTGTTACGTTTTTACACCAAAACAGATGTTCAATTCAATTTGTGAATTTCATATTGTGTTGAGACTGTATTGTAATCTTGTTATCTTTATCTGAATCAGTAGTTTCAGTAAATATTGGATGCGGAGCGCTCGATGGGTTTGCACGATGTTCCATAGTAGGTAAACTCTTTAGATCATTTGGAAAGCTTCGGTTGCCTATTTTCTCAACCTTTCTTTGTAAATTCCTGCATTTTTCTAAGAGCGAGTTAGTATGGAAAGGCACCAGTTGGATCATGGTATATCACTGGTGTTCCCATACTTTTACCTGTACCTGCACTTACATGCTTCTATATGTTATGGCAAATACTACACTTTCTAAAATAAAACTGTTCCTCATAATAAGTCTATTGCCTGAGTTCTAAAAGCATATGCTGTTTCTCCAACTATCCTGACATACTAGGAAAAATGACTTAACAGATCACATCTTTCCCTTACCAGTTTGCAGCGGATTTTAATATACTCGGCTTAAAGAAGGCATAATGCAATCCGTTATTAACAGGGTTATATGAGAAGGTCATATAAGTACATCGGCTTCTGTAGCTTAATTCTTCTCAATTCATTTTGTTTTATTTTTTTTTCACTGATGACACTTGAAATTACTGCATTGAGACTCTATGTAATCTGCGCCACTTTCTCCTTTGGTCTATTTGTACCAAGCAGGACACCCTGTACTGATCACATTTATTAATTTATTAAACATTGTACTGATCATGTTTGTTAATTTATTAAGTATTATTAATTTATTAATATCACATTTATTAAAAATGTAGCATTTGTTGACAGACATAACAAAAAAATATTTTATGAGATTATTTCAAAATATTCTGGACAATTCTTATTTTTAGAAGTAGCGAAAACCATCTACCCGATGGTGAAATTGCTAGCCAGAGAAAATTTCTACACAACCACATTTACTCACCCTATTCAACACAGATAATCTTTGGGAAGTCCATGTATTCCTCTAATTACACAACTTTAGTTTTGCTTATGATCCATTCCTTATGGGATTGCTTCCAAGCGCTTTTCATCACAGCCATTTCTAATGTTTCGTCTGTCTAGTTTCGTTTAATACATTCATAGTTTTTTGTAAATATATTTTAATTTTAACAGCAGTACAATCTTTTCCGGGAATAATAGATTAGTCATGTATTTTTCGTATACATAAGTGGACTTTAGAAATCTGATTAAATGCATGAAGTTTTTTGTATCGCCTTTTTAACCAAACTATACTTTTTCAAACAAGTGAGTAAAAACACTACCTTAAGTTGCTATCTAAATCGGGCATTTATATGTTTCAAGCATTAGATTATAAATTTTGAAATATATTAACTGGATCTAATCTAATTCAAGAAAATAATCTCATAGATTAGGAATACTGTTAAAGAAACACCGGAAATCAACGGATGCAAGAATAAGAGATAAGAATTTGACTTACTAGTTGAAAATTCTAAAAAATTATTGCTCCTCGTTCGCTGAAGAACAGCTCATTTATAAAGTGGAGCGGATTTATATCATTTACAGGAAAAGATATATTTTGACCTAGCGACATCTGTTGCAATTATATTGATTGGTACGAGGATAGACATATTTCATTTCCTGCAATGATATGAAATTTATGCCCTTGAAGTGACTAAAAATATTTAATAATTGCAGGTGAAATCTGTCAACTGATTCAAAGACTTGATAATCTGATGATTGAAATTTAAGGAAGCTTTCAGCTTTGCCTTGCATATATGCCAATAACCGAATGAAGAATTTATCAGAATCAACGTTTATAAGAGGAATTCTAAGCCTGTGATATTATTTTATTTTTTTTTCATCCCACGAACTTCAAATGTTTTCTTACTCAAATTCATTTTCAGTGTGTATTTGCACTATTGTTCAATTCTCTAACTAGTAATATATTTATGCATGTTTGTTTAACTTCGACTGAAAAATTCAAAACATATTTACATTTACGATGCGCTTGTCAACAATAATATAAGGACAGTAATCACGTTTATAGGAATAAAATTTTTTTATTACACAGTGGAACGGAGTGGCTGCATGTGGAATGTAGATATAAACTATCTTTTCTTATGAAATCCTTCATTAAAAGAAGTTCTTGAAAGGTTCATGCTTGTAAAGTTATTTCAGCTGACCTGAATTTCATCGACATGAAGTTTAGTACCTCCCCTATTACTTGATGCTTCGAATTATGAAAACTAATGCTAAAATAAATTATAAAATGAATCAGTCACATTTTCTTTTTTATTAATTATTGGTTTAATAAATAAATGGTTCCAAAATTGTTTCTTTGCGTTAACATTAGAAGCCATCTTATGCACTGAATTTCGTAAGAAATTCGCTTTGACGAGAAAACTATACTGTCTGTAATTAAGAGCCAAAAATATTATCAGCAGTCAAAATCCATGAAGACTTTACATTTTAAATCATTGCCGAACAAATACATTTAAAATTTATTACATTTTAAATCACTGCCGAACTCAGTTGTTTTCCTATTCATATTATAGTAATTATTCAAATTTTTAGAAAAACGTAATTTATAACAGGGAATTTTTACTGCTTTATTAAAGTAAACTCATATATAAAAAATAATAATTACGAGCGAACAATTGCACAAAATAGAGTAAAGAGGAATTTTATGAGATATTAAGTATAGATTACAAAAGCTGTGAATTTCAAAATCTCATGACTTATGCAGCATCTAATTTTAGTAATTAAAAGCAATTATGTGGTGTAAATGTCATAACTACCCAACAAAAGAAAAAGTATCCCGGCACCTTGTGGTGCGATTTCGGAAAGTCCTGAGGCACAAACTGGTAGGCCAAAACATTATGACCATCTCCACATTTTTTCAATGAACTCGTTTTGATAACGTGGAGGGACGTGAATAAGTGGGAAGGGAATTTAATTGCTTCTGGAGAAAGTAAAACGTCATTCTTTCACTTACATTCGCGAGTGATTAGAAAAGCCGCTAATCTAAGCGCATTTAGTAGAGGGCAGATTATATTAACACGAAACCTCGGAACAAGTATCTCCAAAATTGCACGACTGGAAGGTTGTTCACAATCTACCATTATTAATATTTATGAAAAGTCAATAAATGACGATGAAATCAGCAGTAGACGCCAAAGTGTTGGATGTCCACGCGTCATCAAAGAAAAGGACGTTGGAGATTGCCCCGCCTGGTCCATCAAAAATCAAGCCAGTGAGTCACTCAGCTGACACCCCAGTATAATGCAGGTTTAAGTTCAAGTCGTTCGGAAAACACAGTTCAGTGAACATTGTTAGATATGTTCCACTCATGTGCCTCTGTTCGCCAAGCGTCATTGTCAGCTACACCTAGAGTGGACCCTGAAATATCGAGACTGGGCCATGAATAAATGAAAGACAGTTGCCTGTCACGTGATGAATCACGCTTTCTCATTCATCAGGTCGATGATCGTTTTAGTGTACGCCGTCTTCCAGGCGAACATCGCATCATACACAAATCATACACAGTCTGATGGTGGCGGTGAGCGTTTCTGGGACCCTCAGGTGTGCTGGCACAGACCATGAAAGCTGTGGACAATCTGAACATAATTGCGGACCAGTTGCCCCCCTACATGGCGTCTGTCTTTCCAAATAGAAATTTGGAAAGACAGACGAAAGAAGAAATATTCCAACAGGAAAAATCAAGGCTCCAATTGTGCTGGAGTGATTCAAAGAGAATAAGGAAGAATTCCAGTTAATGTTCTCGCCACCTAACACGTCAGATCTTAACAATATAGAGCACATTTCGGATGTCATGGAGCAGCAGTTCAGAGCTCAAGCACCACCATGTAGGAATATCTGAACTTTGCCTGGTCGCTAGTAAGGTATTTATTACAATCTGTCTCCAGTCATCTACCAAGAACGTGTGGATCCATACCATGGCGATTTGCAACTGCTTTACGAGCCAAAGTTTGAGCATCGCATTATTGAGGAGGTGTTCATAATATGTTGGCTCTTCAGTGTATATTAATATGATGTTGGGACCTCGTTTATGTCGCCGACCGCTTGCACGCGTCTGGAGAGACTTTCTACCAGTTTTTGATAGGTTTACACATGATATGACTTCCAGGCGTCCATCAGAGCTGAAGTGAGTGCTGTCACTGAGGATGGAAGATTCGCTGGCTTCCTAATCTGCGCTCTAATTCGTCCCAAAGGTACTCTGTAGGATTTAGATGGGGGTCTCTGAGAATGCGGGTCCAGTTTTTGAACACATATTTTGTTAAAACATGACATGAAATTTCGATGCGTGAATTGAGTAGTTATCCTGCTGGATGAGAAATGGGCCTTTCCAAAATATTGGTATAGAGTTGGGAGAGCAGCATTGTTCAGAATGTTCCCATACATCTTAGAGTTCATGGAACTATGGGGCCCAGTCCAAACCATGTAAAACACCCCACATGATACTGACACCACCAAACTTTACGGTCGACATTGTGCAGTCACTTAAGAAGAGATCGCCGGGTATCCTCCAAACTCAGCGATGGGTCTAACTACTACGTTGTTTTACAATCGACAATCATCACTCCAAAGAACATTTTCTTACATGTTTACAATCCAATGATGCATCATGGCAATCGACGCTTCGCATTCTGGGGAGTGATGTCCGGCTTGTGAGTGGCAGCACAATCTGAGGTTTGTAAACTGTCGACTAGCCTGATGAAATTTGAAACTCCTGGGTCATTTCAACCAACGAGAATTTGTGATTTTGTTTCACTATCTTTTTCAGAGTTCTACAGCTGCGTCCACTAATTGTTTCCAGACCGTTGCTTCGTTTTTGTGCAGTTTCACTGTCCCTACGTTTCCACTTCACAGTTACATCACTCTCATTGGATGTGGGCTTTTCTAGAATGTCTAAAATTTCACGAATTCATTTCCGAAAAAGATGGCATCCCCCTGTACTGACACGATCAAAGTCACTAAGCTCCTTTGACTTACACATTGTCTCACAAACGCATAAATATGTCCTGACAAACCACTACAAACACTTTCATAGCTTTCGATTATGCATCAAATTACGTAACATGCCAAATCCAGTCTTTAGGAAAGTGTTCGTATACGTTTGGTCAGGTAGTGTAGGTTCTAATGTTAGAGCAAACCTGATTGTCTCAACTCCTCTTTTCCAAAATATGGGGATCTTAGGGCTCGTATCTGTGCTTAGGCAGTTTCGGCCATGGAGTTATATAATCTGTCTTAGTAGGAATGAAACCTCCTTTCATTCGGGATAAGATTCAGGCTCGTCAAGAACCATACTGGTACTGTTCTTGTCTGTTTTAAGTTTTTGGTGTCACTACATATTAAATACTCCAGATTGTCCTTGGAGATTTCGTGCTGGTTGGTGTACTCGGTGAAGTGGCTGGAAGTATGGCTGACTGCTTATGGCGACTGATAAGCGCTTGGTTGTCGTAATACTGTGCATCTGCCATGCTTCTTGCTATCTTCTCGTCGAGGAGTTGAGTTGGAAATTTGCTATGACTCAGACAATAGTGGTGGCCGAAGTACTTAGATATAAATTCACTGTTTCTCCAGGTCGAGCTTGATGGGGTTTCCTGGCTGTACCTTTCACCATGGCTTGTCGTTTGTCTCCCCGCTGCTATGCATATTTGATGTTGTTATCTCAAAAACCTTTTAAATATTTTAAAAGACTGAACTGTTAAAAATCCTTAAGTGTTTCTATTTCAAATAAATGCCAAATATTATGTCATCACTCAGATTGTGTACGAATCCGGTGAAATGAGTTTCCAGAGATCGAATTATTTCTTTTTATACATGCATTTTAATTAATATAATTTTTTTGTTTCAAAGATCGTCCATATTCAGCAGTTAAGAAATTAAAATGTTTTATGTATAATTACGGATGCTTTAATAGTATCCATTTATTTAATATAATGACTTTAATTAAAATTAAAAAAATATTTTAAAAATATTTCTAAAAGTTCAAACAGATGAACACATTTTTTCAAATAGCAGATGTATTTAAATTATAATAAAGGACAATTTTAAATGAGTACAATTTAAATGAAATTTTTATAATTGTTATAGATTGCAACTTATTTTAAGAACTTTCATACACATATTCTTTATTGCACGTCTATTTAGACAGATATATTACTATAGAGATACGACTGTCACAATAAAACCACCTGGGAGTTACTTTGTTGATTTAAATAACATGCAGATTGAGATTGCTCACATGTCAACGGTAAATGACAAACTGCCAACGTTGTTCTCAAAATATTAGGAAATTAATCGTTTGTTTGTAATACACTTATATAAGGAGGAGGAAGAAAGAGCATTTTCTAGTAATACGTATATGTTATTTAAATTAGAGATAACTCTTTTCCATTTATTACAGGTAAGGCTACTTTACTGCATGTTAGGGTAAAATAGAATTTACAATAGAAAGCTTCTTCTTATAATTAAATATTTCAACTTTTTTTTTAATTTATGTAAGTTTTAGTTTTCCTAGCACATAAAAATTTGGGATCACATGACTTTTAAATAAAAAGAATGTCTTTAGCCCAAAGGAGCGTCAGCTCAGAAGGGATATTAATTTCCTTTTGGCATTTTGCATCGATTCACTGTAAATGTCCGTATCACAGTCCGTATCAAACTGTTGCCACCAAATATTATTGCGCTGTATTATATTTAAAAAAATTAAATAATGAAGAATTTGCATAAATGTATGAATATTTCTCGCATTGTGATAAAGCAACGGTACCTAGAGCCATCAAATTTTGAATAAAGTAGTCCTCCTCCGAATATGGGTATCTGGAAGCCCAAATTTGGAATTTGAAATTTCTTTTTATTATTAAATTCATATTTTATAACACTTTAAAGAATTTTTGATTAACAAACTCAACGATTTCAAAGTGAGCAATGGCAACATTGTACCTAAACAGAAACATTTTTATCCTTAGCCTAAGACTGTGTATTGGAAATTCTAAAGATATGCTCATTTAAAAATTATTTTGCTATATTGCTATTGAACTGAATTTTATGTTTAAGTGCGAAGAACATGATATTTAATAAATAAAGGTAACACACAAAACGTTAAAAAAAACCTTTGGGCGTAATGTAAATAATGAAAGCTTTCAGATTTTTATATATATACATATTTTTTTCATTTTAAATTTGTATAAAAATCTCTATTTTATCCTTCTGAAAACTAACGCATTAAGATATAGCAGATTTTCGGCTTTAAAGTGTTAAATGATATTTTTCTTCTTAAACGTTTCAGGAGAGTTTAAACCTCATCATGAAAAGCTTTTTACTTCTTCTTGTTCTAGTTATTGCCTTGCTTAGTTTGAATTCTGCACCTGTTGAAGGTAAATTATAGAACACTGTATTTATATTTCACCAAATATATATATGTATACCTATATATGCATGTATTATAAAGTGGTAATATTTTAAAGCACGAGAAAATTGTTCGTAAAACGTTCAATTTCATGACATCATTACCCATAGTAAAATAATAACCAAATTATGGAAATATATTTTAAATGGAAGGAAAAAGTGTTTGATGAGTAAATTGCATTTGAAATTAAATAACGTCTTTCACAAGACGAAGCTGTTATATAATCTTAATCTTTTTGTTTTTCTGAAAATGTCACTAGAGGAAATTAAACCGACTATTAAAATTAACATAACAGTAGTAATACAAATATGAGTTAAAATTCATTTGAAAGTTACATAAAATTGTCTAAAATAAAAAGAAATATTCTTAGCGAATACAAAATTGTAGGATATAAGTTACGGCTTGGTTACTGACAAAAGATGATCAAACAGTTAATGGGGACGGAATAAAAACAATATGAATAAAAATAACGAGAAGATAAATTAATCCGATTACAGAATAGTTGGACTGTACTTAACATGGAAATATAGTTCTGAAATACCCAGCTGTTGTGTATCGAATTTTAATTGTGCTAATGTACTTTAATTAACTGTTATTAAGTTTTTTTCTAATTGAAATTATTTGTTGATTAGCGTAGTGGATATTTATTTTCCGCAGATTAAAAGATTTCGTAATATTATTTTCACTTGTTTGTTTGTTTCTCATGGTGCATTTTCGAGGTCGTCAACCTTCAGGACAGATTTTCTTTCACTTGTTTATCTGAGCTTCCCTTCGCTATCTGCGTTATAACATTTCTTGGTTAGTGTTCCCCAAACAGATTCTCTGCAGCTATTCGGGTGGTGAATAGGAGTTCTAATGAGAAAGTGTAGTTTAACTCTTTGAAGACCTGGGTGTTTCTGGGGTGTTATCCCAGACGACCTTTCCTTCAAACGACCACAACCGTCCCAAACGGCCGAAATTCCGATGTTGTTTCCATCCCTCCTCTAACATATGCAATAGCAGGTGCAGTTTTCCCAAATATATTGTATCAGTTTATTGCAGATAGCTTGTCCTAAAAATATTTATTTTTGTTTTCTTAGCTTTATTTGCTAGAAGTGGAAAGGAAGTCATTTGAAATCTTCACTCTTCTTTGTGCGTTAATGGATGCGGAGGGGAGGAAATTGGTGTAACTGTCGAAAACCCTTTCAGGCGGTTCTTTATTTTAACATACACATTAACGAAGGCTTCGGTTTTCAAAGAATTAAAGCATCTGTTGCTATATTTCATTTGACTAGAGAAGGAAAGAGTTTCGGAGGGTTTCGTTAACTGCTTTGTGAAAAAGCAATAATTGACGTATTTTGCTTCACTTTCGGTTTGATAAAGTTGACAGATAAAGGGATTTTTCAAACGGATAAGCGTCGAGTGAATTTTTCTGGGCTGAATTTAAGAAATTAGGATTTATCTCCGTGTTTAGATAACTCATTTTGCAGTTGCCAAGATGAATGATTTGTTGTTACAGTTGTGTTTCTACTCGTTTGGGAGGATGGAAAATAATAAAAAGAAAACTGAGAAAATTCATCTGGACTGGCTTTATGTGGGTAGAGAACTGAGATATCTTCGAGGGCTGAGTAGCAGTGGAACTCAGATTCTGTCTAATCATGAAATGGAAAACTTTCGAACGAAGAGGCTCGTCCTCTCCCAGTAACAGTAGGCATTTGGTTGCATGTTTAAGTGGCTTTGAATGCCGAATTTTGCTCAATATAGCCCCGCACCATTGACGGCACTTTCTGATAGCTAGTTCTTCTTCATATAAAAACAATATGTGATGACAGCTGTTGGCTTCGTTCCTGAGCGATCTCTCTCATCACGACTTCGAAATAATTAAGAAACATTTTTAACCTCGAATAGCAAGAGCAAATAATTTTTAACCAAAATCACAGAAATAGCAAGTTTCGAAAGATTCGCTGAAACTCCGAAAATCGGTCTTCTAGCTTAAGGAATGAATGCAGAAAAATACTGTCTATTGAGCTTTCTAATATCTTAAGGTTCTCATCCACAAGTTCATAAAATCAAGAACCAATGGAATGCTTTCTTTGTGGCAATGCTCATGATCACTACAGTATTTTCTTACTTAAAAGATTGTTCTAAAAGAATAAATTCCCCCTTGTAGTACAGTGACCTCTGTCTAAAAGGTAGTTGCCTGGCTTTTGCCAGTTATCGCTATTTGAAAGAATAAATCCTGTTGTTTGGTAATCTTTCATCGAAAGTAAGGTAAATATTTTATTTTTTCGTTTTATGTGAAATAACGCGTAACTGCAGCTATTGCTCAGATGGACTTGGAAAGGATGGAAAGAACATTGGCCAAATGGATTTTAGAACAGATAATTTGGCATGTCTGGAAACTTAGGAAGGAAATTTGCGCCCCGCATAAAATCTATTGAACATTCTTCTTTTCATGACATTAAGACATTACCTAAATCTTTTCCTTAATCATTAATTACACTGTACTACTCCATGAATTACACCGTACTGTTCTCTGGGGATAAAATATTACTCTAAATCACCAATTATATTATGATTTTCTCGTAATTGACATTTAGCAACATAGTAGTATTTAAATAGGAGATATTTGCAACCTCAAAATTTTCTCTGAAGTATTAAATTATTAGCTATAAAAAATGATGATTTTTACAAATAACATTTAAATTTATTTTCCTTTTAAGGCCTAAAGAAGCAATAAGACTCCTTGAAGGAAGAAGGCTTATTTTTTTTTCATTATACCTGTGTTAAAAAATCTGGTAATATCTTATAATAGAGTATTTTTAAGTATTAAATTTAAAAATGTGAAGAAAGAGTTTAATTATCATATTATGCACTGCATTGCTGCGTTACACTGCACTGCATTACACTTACACGAAAATTATCTGCGTAATACTTAATAAACTACACAGATAACTTGCCTTAGAACTAAACGGAACATATGCCGTTAATTGCAATGCAATAGACATGTCCTGTTCAGTGATTTCACTTCAGATCTACATCCACTATACTTGTTATTGATAGGGATGAAAAAATAGGTAACATTCTATCGTTAATATTTTTATATGCTTTATATGGCATGATAAATTATTGATTTTAATTAGATAGAGTGTTTTTCCATTTACTTAAAAACAAATAAAATTTATTCAAAACTGTACTCTTATTAAATATTCATCTACATTTTTCATATTTTAAATTTTAATCTAATATATAATCCATTACATTCCCTTTTTATAAAATATAAACTAATAAGGTCTTACTTTCTAGTAAATACAATATATTAATGCCTTAATAAACAATGAAATTATTTATTAACAGATGAAATTGCCTTGTACGGATTAGAAGAAAGAGCTGGGTAAGTACAAAGCTCTTTTTTCTGTATTTTAAATAGTTGAATGTATCAAACTGAAGCTGCACGATGTTATGCAATACGGCATTTAGTAAAGACAAGATAATAAGACAATTTACTTTCGCAAAATTATTCCCGAGCAAGTTTCGAATTTCGGATGAAAAAGTCATAAATTAAATTTTTGCTCTAATTCATCATAACTTAATTTTAACGAATTACGTATGATATAATTACTTCACATAAACTTTTACCTAAACCTGCAAGTTTAAAATTATTTTTCAAAAGAGTATTACTTTAAAAGAAATGCTATAAACAAATAGCTTGAAAGCGGTACATAATAAATGCAAGCAATGCCTATTTGCTGCTATCAATATAGCAGGGTAATACTGGTTTATTCGATTATGTGAAGGTAAATCGAAAATACAGAACTCCGTGAACTCAAAAATAGTCTCTTTGGATTGATTATATGTAGTGCTGAAACACAGATACTCAGAAAATGGTCTTTTAATCGCAATTAACAGAAACGCCCGATGATAATTTCAATAGGGTACTTCTCTCTTTTCTTTAATTTTAAAATATATAAATTATTAATTCCCGGATGACGATCAGTAATAATCTGAATCTCCTACTTCAATTAGAATAAGAATAATAAAGAGGATGGATTTTGCCTCAATTGAAAACATAAAATTGAAGCATCAAATTTATTTTAAATATTTTAATTGGAAGCTTTATAGAGAAGTTAAACTAATATTTATTGGAAGCTAAACTAATATAGATCCTACTAATGAACCTGGCTTCTTCTCGTACAGCCGTGAAAGAATACCAGCGCAGAAAGGATGAAAATAATCCTATTTTAATTTCAACTAAATGGGACACAGAATAAATAGGGCACGTACTTCGTGGTTTACAATAACACTGACAACTTGCGGTGTAAACTAGGAATAGTAACACAATAAATCTAAATCTAAAGAATAGTGCTGGTCTAGAACTTTTAGTTACGGCTAATTTAGCTTGATTCGACAAACCGTGATAATTTTTCAAAATGGCCAAAAGGCGTATCAGCGTTACTGCTCTGACTAGCGAAGGTATGCTCTGAGTAAACTCCGAAATTCACCTGTTTAACTACTCACTTCACTTAACTTTAAATTTACATCCTGGCGAAGAAAAACGAGGGGAAATTTAGGAATTCAGGAAAGATAGCAAAAATTTGAATAATACGTTTGTTCAACTAAGGGAAACCCTACAGCTTGAAAAATTACGGAATAATAATAATTATTATAAATCTAAAAAGGAGGCTACCAGATGCATAAAATTTATATATCTGAAATGTTTATTACGCATGTAGCGTAAATTTGTCTTAATTAATTTACCTTAAGTATACTGTTAAATTACTATTTTATTTTAATAGAAATTTTAAAGATCAACAAAAAGTAAAATGCTAATTACGTATTGAAGGTGAATGAAAAAAATATTTTAAAATTTAATTGTCCATAATTTACTAAAAGAAAAAAAAACTTAAGTTCTAAAAGTAACCACTGTAATTTTTAAAAAAGTGTTAGTATCATCTATTGGCTAGTTAAGTTTTATTTAAAAAAAGCCTGATGTGGACATGACATGATTTCATTTCACGGCCTATTAAATTATACACATTTTTTGCTGCATTTCAGTTAAACTTATTTCTTCAAATTTCATTAGACATATATTTCTCATTCAATTAATTCAGTTCTCACTTTGCGGAAAGGCAAAAATACATAAAAACTGAAAACAACTCCGTTAAAAATTGAAAAATATTAGAAAAACATAAATAACCAATTAAAATTAAAACAGTTTTTTTCTTGCAATTAAAATTGCCAATTTTTCGAAAAAACAAGCAATTCGGTTAGCGGGCAAGATTTCTGATTTTTCGGTGCACAAATTTTGCTTTTGGCCCCATGGGCAAAAAGACATTGAAGGTGCAGAAACTAACTTAATTCGAGGTTCTGCTAAGTTTCAAATGTAAACAAATATGGATGCTTTACACTCAAGAGCCAAAACATTATGACCACTTGTCAATAACGAGTGGGGCCACCTTTGGCGCGTAACATAGCTTCAACCCGCCTTGGCATGGATGCCAAAAATCCTTGATAGATGGCCGGAGACAGATTGTACCAGATGTTGTAGCAACGGTCACGAAAATCCGAGATATTGCGAATTGGTGGTCTTTGGCCTCTGAGCTGCCGTACCTTGACATCCCAAATGTGTTCTATTGAATTGAGGTAGGATGAGTTAGACGGCCAGGACATTAACTGGAAATCAGCATCATGTTCCTGGAACCACTCCAACACAATTGTAGCCTTGTGACACGGGGCGTTGTCCTGTTGGAACATTACCATTTCCAGCTGGAAAAACAGAGGCCATGTAAAAATGCAACTGGTCCGCAAATGATATTCCAGATACCCTGTAGCATTCATGGTGTGCTCTACCACAACCATGGGTACCCAGAGACGCCCAAGAGAACGTCCCTCCGGAGCATAATACCGCCACCACCGGCCTTTGTATGACCTACAGTGCAATGAGGGAGCAACTGTTCGCCTGGAAGACGGCGTATCCTGACACGGCCATCGGCGTGATGAATGACAAACCGTGATTCATCTGGCCAGGCAACTCTCTCCCACTGATCCATGGACCAGTCGCGATGTTCCCGGGTTTAGCGCAGGCGCAGTTGGCGATGACGCTTGGTCAGCAAAGGCACAAGAGTGGGACGTTTGCTACATAACCCCATATCCAACAGTGTCCGCTGAACAGTGTGCTCCGATACTTTTATACTTGGTCCTGCATTGTATTCGGCTGTCAGCTGAGCCACTATCTGGTTCTGGTTTTGCTTCACCATGCGAGACAGTCTCCGACGAACTTTTTCCTTGATAGCGTGTGGACGTGCAACACCATGTCATCTACTGCTGGTTTCACCGTCATCCATCCACTTTTCATACGTACTAACAACTATAGATCGCGAACAACCCACGAGTCGTGCAGTTTAGGAAATACTTGTTCCGAGCCTTCGAGCCATTACAATCTGCCCTCTAGCAAAGTCGCTTAGATCCGCAGCCTTTCCCATCACACACAGAAGTAAGTGAAAGAATGGTTCTTCAGACTCTCCAGCAGCAGGTAAATACCACTTCCACCTGATCACGTGACTTCCACGTCATCCAGGCGCGTTCATCGCAAAATGTGGGGCTGGTCATAATGTTTTGGCTCTTGAGTGTATTAGACTTAGTCACACTTAAACAACTTTTAAATTGTTGATAATCCTACAACTATCGCATGCAAACTAATTAAAAGCATAAAACTTTAACCGAACATAAAAACAGCATAATTTAATTACTTTTAAAGTAAAAAAGGCACAATTTACCAACATACAGGAATCAATAAAACTGAGCTCACCGAGAAGAGTGGGTATTTATATTTATATATAAATGCTGCTGCCGAAATGAACCAAAAAGAGAGATGCAAAGCTACATGTTATAGCAATCCTATATATAAAAGTTCAGTGTTCTGAGGTTACTCATATTTGAGTTATGCGAGATACATACGCATGTAGAATTTTTCCTGACGAACTGACGTCACGAAAATTTCTCCTCTGAATCCATTTTATAATCCGTTTTGTGTAAAAGAGTCCTTTATTATGTCCTTAAGTACAAATCTCATGCAAAAACATCGTTAAATTGCATTCAACAGCGGTCAAAATGGATGTTTTCGTTCAAATATGATACCCAAAAGTTTTCGTGATTACAATACTTCCTTTACTTCGCATAAGGAAGAAAACACTAACCCCCCGAGCCATATAACATAGGCGGAATATATATGTAGGCATACGTACGTGTATACATTTTTATATGATTGGTGCATTCGATTGTAACGAAAAAGGGAAGTGCAAAACTACATGTTGTAGCGAACCCATACACAAAATTTCCGAGTCCTAAGTCTATTACTAGTTCTTGAGTTTTCAAGATGAATACATACGTATGTACCTACAGACGTCAAGAAAAATATCTCTTCTAAATCCATGTAACAATCCTTTTTTTTTTTTTTTTTTTCAAAAAACGGTCCTTTATTTTGTTTGTACATACAGATGTGATGCAAAAGCATTGTTTAAATTGTTTCGAGAGGGGTTGAAATGTATATTTTCGACGAATTAGCTGCCCGAAATTTTTCGTGATTACAATACTTTCTTTACTTCGTACAAGGAAGTAAAAACGTATGTTAGCGCAGTGCAATATACAAATCTAATGTGAGGCTGTTTCCGTGTCTTGGAAAAATTACAGTTAAGCAAATGTTCCTGATCAGCTGACTGGACCGAAATATAGAATGGTACCCCTCTTTTTACTCAGTACACATTGTATACGTACATTACTTTGTCAAGCCTTTACTTTCCGCTAGAATTGCTAATGCTAGAGTATGTAAATTGTAGTAGAACGCGCAGTATATTCAAATTTTAGCAGAAGTAAGTTGAGTTTAAATAGAAGGGAAACGAGATTGTATGTGTGCTTCTTGAATCGCGAAAGTGAAGGTGGCTAGGGAGAAATTTAAGAACCGCGCGTTTCGGTTTGTGTGCCTATCTCGGCAGTTTCTGATGAATCCTTCAACTGCTTAATTAGTAAGCTCGCCGAATCTCAGCTGTATTTTAGAACGCGGTTAGGTTAGTTAAGATTTCAGAGCCTCGTGGATAGTGATATAGCTATTTATTCATCCAGTCATTATTTTGCAGTTTTTACATTTGTTTCTGTTAAAACCGCCGGGTCGGCGTAGTTTGTGAGCGTCAAGTGGATGCAGCTGTTATTTTTAAAGTGGAATAAAAAGGGCTTTAAACCCTTCTTACGTGTTTGTGTAAATCTATATTTCGTAGCAGTCACTACAGTTGCTGACAAGTTGGGGCCACACTTTACCACAACTTATTTGGAAACAATGTACGCATCATATAAAATATAAATTTTTTAGTGTTTTAACAATACCTAGTAGCTTAGCATATATTTAGTTAATTTCTTTTATGCGAAAATTTGCTCTAGCAAAATAAATAAACGAATTTTCTATGCCATATGCTTTATAATCAGTTACGAATCATGAGTTTTTACAGAAAGCTTTGAATGTACTTATAAAATACATTCAACACAATAAATAGAGTAGATAAAAAAACTGAAAAGGATTGATGTATTAAAAACAAACAAATAATTAAATATGGACATATTTTCGGTCTGGGAATTACTGACATTAATGAGTATCTTCATCATATTACATGATCTTTATTAAATTAAATTGAGTACTTGAGATTTACGGGGTATCATTTTTGCCCGATTTTAATTTCTTATGAACGCTTTTAGTTTGATTTCTCTGTTAGTTTGAATCAAATCTAGAAATCAAGGTTTAATTCGCTTCTATGGAAATAAATTCCTTGAAGTTTTCACAGCTACATAGTTGTTAATAAAATTAAAATATGTTAAAGAATTTTTTTTTAAAATTTCGGTAATAATGATTGTATTTAATACGAAAACGATTTCTTACAGGTTTCCTAGATACATTTATATTTTGCTGTACTGTAAGACAGATTAGAAAATAATCTAACAAATCAACTTCTTAAAAAAACATTAAATTCATTTATCGGTTATAAACGGCTTTTCCCAACACAGTGAATAGAACTTATTGTAGAACCATGACTGTAGGTTTGGTAATAATGATTGATTATTTTAATCACGGTTGTAAGAGGAAAATCTGAGGACATTACATTGAACATAATCTTATTTCATCAAATAGATCGGAAGAATTAAGAGACATTTGGTATTTTTGTAATATTGATTAGAGGGAATCATTTTCTTCGTTCCGAGCCAGTGATTTTCTTTCGCTTTCTGCAAAGGATTGAAAAGAATGAAGTAAAATCTGCAAAAAATTCGTTTTAAAATTTAAGAACACATAAAAAATCCTTTTTAGCTGTCAAAAGATTGTTAGTTATTTTTAAATAGAAGGTACAATCATAGGTCTCCCATAAAAATAATGGGGTGTTAACAGAATTTTAATAGGAGTGGTAATATTCAAACATCACATATCAAAATTACCACTCAATCCATTTAAATTTCTTTTTGGAAATACTGATTATCATTTTAATGCCTTTAGATCCACTTTTGCTTGCTTCGAGAATGCGTACTGTTTCTCTACGCAAAAATGTTCTCTGATGTGTCTGTGGTATTAAGCCGGCAGTACTCGCGCGAGAAAAACGAACGGGATTGCTCGCGATGGGTATGACATACAAAGGGAGGTTTCTTCCTCTCTTTTACTATTAAATCTGCACAAAATATATAAGAACAAAAACATAGTTTTAAAACATATATTAAAAATTTTACCTTTAATTTGCACAGTTCCGGCAATTACATGCCATATGTTTCATGCATACATGTTTTTCACATACAAACTTACTTTTTCTGTCTTTTTTGGCCTCACATTCAGAACATCTTTCATATGTGGTATTTACCTTCTTAGCAGGAGGTGTGTCGGCCTCATTGTTGTTCAATTTTACTTTTAGGCTTTGTGGGAGCATTGCCTTGTTGACTTATTATCTTCTTATAATCTTCTATCACTTGAAATACCAGTCTTTTTAGAAATGAAAGTCCAGCTCGATGCCCAGCTGGTGGTTTCTTTGTTGATAACAAAATTATCCGTGGATTTATTGCAGCAACATTCAACATGGAATAAAAGGTTGGCCTATGGCTAATAGCCATAGGCTAATAGTCGTCGTAAACAAGTCGTTGACTTGTTTTTTTAGCCATTGAATACGTTTCAGTCATTTCATCCACGACATCGACGGCACCTTTAGTAATATTGTAAAAAATTGCTATTTTTGGCTTCATGGCTTCTCCACTTTCAGGATAAATTGCATCACCATTATGCATTGTAGACAGGAGAACACATTTCTGGTTTTTTTTGGAGGAAGGGGGTGTGTAAGAAACAATAATTGTTTCTTTCTGAAACCCAGAAAGTGAGGAGTAAACTTCTCTCTTACTTGTTTTCAAATATATTGGAGAAATTCTTTTTAATTTTTCCTCAAAGTCCCAGCAACTGTTATTATTTTTTAAAACGTTTTTGAGAAAGTGGATAAAATACATATTTGTGCAGTGTTAAATTCTTTCCTGAGTTGTAAAGAGGCCCCATCAGTCTTTTCACCACCCTACTAGGAGAGTTATCCACTTGAAACGGATCTTTTGGCTGCTGGCCCGCATAAATTTCTAATTTCCAAGTCTAGAAAACTCTGGAATCGACATTCGTAAAAATTTTGATTTCGTATTAGGATAGTTTTTTGGCATATTTTACCGAAATTGGCATCGACTTCTGAAAGGTTCCAGTTTTCGTCTATTGTACAATTGTCTATCTTCCACGTTGTACAATTTTGGCAATTTTCTACAAATACTTAAAACATCACGTGTTGGAGCTAGTGTATCGAATTCTTTCTCGGTCTGGCGGGTTTGTGCATCATCAAAGCGAAGGCATCTCAATAAAAAATAAAAAAGTGCTGATGGCATAGTTGTAGGGAATATTTCAATTCCAGTGCCGTCTGTTGCTCAAGAATCTCATATATACACATGGGATGATTTATGCAAACAAATGAGATATAGCTATCCAATAAATGCTTTAATTTCAGCCTCATGAGTCTTTCTTGCATATCTTTCTCAAGAAAAGTGCTCCTTAATCGGGCCAATAAAAATATTAGTACATTGCACTACTTTATCTAATCAGCAGATAAATTTAAGTTCCAAGCTTCCAGAGGAGAAGCCATGCTTTCTGAAACGTATGTGTTTCCAGGGAGTTTTGAAATTATATCTTTTACAGAAATTCTAATATTTCCACGAAATATCATTTTGCTCCATTTTGTTATATTATCCTTTCCTATAAAATAGTCACTTTCATTTGAATCAAAAAGATCGCCCTCTAAACCAGATTTTATTTCAGTAGAAGATTCGTGCTCACTGTAAATTTCTTCATCATCCGCTTCTTTACTATCGGAAAACTCTTTACCTCCTTCAGGACTTTCTTCACCCGAAGAAACAGTATCGTGTAAATTTCTTAATGTCGCATTTCTTCATCGTAACTTCGAAAACACGCCATAATGAGATGACGATTTCTTTGCTTTTACCAGTACTCAGAATTGTAATAGAAATGCTCGAGCTGGTTGTGACATATCATGAAATGGCGATTTCAAAATATCGATCGTTAGAACTTTTTCCCCTATTCTTCCCTTCCAAGGTTATGACATTGGAGGCAGCTACAGGAAAAATCACCCATTTGAAAAAAACTTTGGAGAAAAACAGCGAAAAAAGGAGGGAATGGGTATGACACACCCAGCGCGATCAAACCTGGGGTAAATTTTCAGCAAGATTCTAAAGGGCTTATCTGTGCTGGGGCTTATCCCACTGGGGCTTATCTGTGCTAACGGAGTCATTCCCTGTGTCGACTAGCAAAGGGTCGTTGCCACTAGGGTTTATCTGAGCTAACAGAATCAGTTCCCTGTGTCAACTAGCTCCGCTATGCTTGCAGTTCAGATTTTTCAATTTGCTTCCCTATGGGAAAAAACTGGTTTTGGAGATGGGCCGGATACGTTAGTTGTCCCTATTAGCTCAGATAAATCCCAGTTGTTTGTGTTCTAATGCCTGTGTTTAGAGTGTGTTTCAGTAAGCTTCTGCATCTGTTTTAATTACGTCTCTGAACTTTTAAGGGCCATTCACCCTGGGGTTTATCTGAGCTAACGGACACAGCTGACGTAGGCTTACCGTGACAAAAATTCAGAGTATATTTAATGTTTTCCCAGTTAGTAAATTATGTAAAGGTAAATGTTTTAATTAGTTTTTAAATAGTTGTCGCAACAAACCAAAAAGAAGAGAAGGTTAAGATTTCATTATTGCCGTGGTTGCGTTGTATAAAATAACCCAAAGGTAGAGAATACTAAAATTTAATCCTGATCTGCCTTAATACATAAAATTCGATAAAAGATAAACGTTGACTTACCCATGTATAGTACGAAAAAGAAAGCGTTATATGCCTACCTCTGCGAACATCTTTATTCAGAATACTAATACTGTAGTAGAAATTTAGATGCATACTTGATCACAAGAAATCTTGGTAACACAAGTCATATAATAACATTCGGGAGTTGCTCATAGAACAGGAGAGTAGAACTATGGCTATATAAATCCAGTTATGTGTTAAAAAATGTATATTAATACATAACATGTCTTGGAAGAAGTTTTTCATGTCTTGGAAGAAGGAAAGTTGCTAGGCAAATTTGGCTGATAAGCACGCTGGAACGACGCAAAGAACAGTCCCACACGTTTTACCCGGTGCACATAATATACTTTATTCATTAGAATGCACGAAACACATAAAATATTAACCTTTATTTAGTATTTTTACAATACTTAGTAGCTTAGGATATAGTTAACTAATTTCTTTTATATAAACATTTACGCAGGCATAAATAATAAACGAATTTTCTATGCTATGCTATAAAACTGATAATAAAACATAAGTTTTTACAAAAATCTTTGTATGTATTTATAACATAAATAAATCATAAAATGTTAATTTCTGTACAATAATGGTTTTGATCATCTTACTCTCTTTAAATTAAATGAATATTTTTTGTCTCGGATTTATATTCTTTTCCTTTCAACTCTAGCGGCTGTACATATGCAGGAATTTGTACAGAAAACGAAGACTGCTGTGGACAGCGCACTTGTGAATGCAATATCTTTTTGAAAGACTGCTACTGTAGAGGTCCAAAATTCTGGGCAACTGTTCGCGGTTAATGACATTCAAAGAAAATTGGACGTATCCAAAACAACACTTATATTTCTCATTAATTAAACATGTTATTAACCCCTTTTACATATTCTCCAAAAATTACCAATAGCTTTCATATATATTCTTTAACATTACTTTAATAAAATCGATTATGGCAACAAGATATGAAATTTTATTATTTCTGATAATAACATCGTTCATTAACCTTCCAGCAGGCGCGTATGCGCAAAATTTACTACAAATTCAGTTTTTAATGCATATTTTTCGCATATCGAAGCTGAGACGTCTGAAGGTCATTTCTATTCCTTCTTCGTACCCTTCCCCACATCATGGAATGTGCCGACAGAAAGTCATTTGACTTTCTTTTTTTAACTGGGCTTCTGTGCTACGTGGCAGCTTTTTCATAAAAGTCACGACACGCGCCTGGTCTTGTTTTAAAATTCGGAAAATGCTTTTTTTTTCTAAAATATTTTGTAATTTTGTGTTATTATTAATTTTCTGTGTATTATTTTAATTTGAATACATTTGACTAAGTAAATTTTATATCGGTTTTCATGGCAAAAATGTATGCGCAACTAGCTGATTTTTTTTCGGAAACTTCAAGAATTATCTGATGAAGAAGAGGAAGACAAGGAAACCTTTGAATGGGAGAACAATATCGATTTCCATTCCTTGTTTTCTTTTATTTATATTTTTTAGAAATAAATAAAAGCGTTAAAGTTAGTTTAAAGTGCGTTTTTGTAACTAGTAAGAAGTAAATTTCCTTGTAGAAGTAAGTAATGCTAAACTTACTTTTTTTCCTGCCAAGGTATTTTCCTTTTTTACTGTCTATACTTGTCTTTGATGAGTATCAAAATTACCTACGAATTTTTAAAAATATAATTATTAATAAAATTTAAAATTTTCTATAATAAAATACCATCATTTTTTTCCATCTCACTAACATAAGAACTTAAAAATAATTTACTTATATTTGAATGTGATATCATTTATATTTTGCAATAAAATGGTTAATATTTTATTTCTTAACAAATTTATTATCAATATTCACACATTTCTGTCGTTTTTCATTAAGACGACAACCAAACACGGTTAAAAATAACGGACGTCGTAAAACATACGACGCTTGCGTGCTCATGTAAAATTGCCAAGCGTGCCTGCTGGATGGTTAAATAACAAATAAACTTGTTTTAATTGTAAATTTTTTAAAAATGTACATTTACTTCCTAGAAGACTTCGTAAAAATAGTAAGTAAAAATGTGGGAAAACGAGACTGATAAGAAAATAATTATATATGAATGCATTTACAATCTGTTCATTCCTTGTATGAATAAGTTCCTTTGCCATTATAGGTTACCTTAATTGAACTAAATGAGTATCTGGGCTTTGCACGGTATCTTAATGCTCAAATTTTAGCCCAAAGGCGCTATTATGGCATTTTGCGTTGATTAAATGGCGAATTAATTGTTGCCACCAAATGATAGAACCCTGTATTATAGTTAAAGATATTAAATAATAAAGTATCTGCATAAATGTACATATGTTTCTCGCATTGTGATAAAACAACAGTAACTAAAGCCATCGAATTTTGAATAACGTACGTACCCGAATATAGGTATCTGGAAGCCTATATCTGGAATTTAGAATTAGTTTTATTGTCTGTTTCATATTTTGTAAAGCATTTATGAGTTTTTGATTAAGAAACTCAACGATTTCAAGCGAGCAGTGGCAACATTGTACAAAAAAAAAAAAAAAAAAAAAAAAAAAAAATGCATTTTTTTATCTCCAGCTTGCAAGATTATGTATAAAAAATTCCAAAGATATGCTCTTTTAAATATTTTGAGATATTGCTGTTGAATTGAATTTTATGGTTTAATACTTTTATGGATGAACATGACATTTAATATATAAAGGTGACACACAAAACGTTAAAAAAAAAACGTTTGGGCGTAATATAAAATATAAAATCTTTCAGATTTTTAAAAAAATTTTTATATACACGCTTTTTAGGTTGATTTGTTTGTTGGTTTGGGTCAGATCATGAAGTCAAATTTTAATTCGCTTCTATTGAAGCAAATTCGTAAAGTTTTCATGGATACATATTTACAAAAGAAATAAAACATTTTAGCTAGATGTTTTAAAATTTCGGTAATAGCAATTTTATTTATATTTTATAAATTTTCCAGATTATTCATATTCTGCTGCATTATAAGATAGATAAGAAAATAATTTACAAATGCAATTTGCAAGAAATAATTGAATAAATTTATCAATTATAAACTGATTTTCTGAACTCCGTAGATAGAACATTAACAAGTTCTGGAGGGCTACTAATAATGATGAATTATTTCAATCACGGTTATCGTAGGGGAATTTGAAGATTATTACCTTGAATACAAGCTTGCTCTATCAAATGGACAGAATGGTCTTAAACGAGAATTTTGTATTTTGTAATAATCTCTTATAGAGATTGGATGAAATCATTTTCGATAGTCAGAATCAGAGATTTTCCTTATTATTTTCGTTCTGCAAAGTATTAAAAGGAATGAACAAAATATGCTTAAATTCGTTGTAAAAATGTAGCGTTTTAACTTATAAAAACATAAAAAATACTTTTTTAAGTATCACAACATTTTTAGCTATTTGCAATAAAAGGTAAAATCGCAGGTCTACCACACAAATATGGTGGGGCAAATTCATAATTTTAATAAAAGTGGTAATATCGAAACATCATATATCAGAATTATACTCAATTCATTTAAATATTTCTTTGGCATAAATGAGCGTCAGTTTTAATGCGTTTACATCCATTTCAAATTTCGCATGGATTCTCACCAAAACTTGAAATGTTTCGTTTCGTAAAAAAAGCTGTCTAGAATGGAGTTAAATTAATGTCTCTTATATTAAATTTTCAACAAGGCTCTAGTGTCTGTGGCGATAATTATATCTTGAGATATTTACCTTCTGAGTGATTTCTCATCTGTCTAATTTCCATAATCCTTCAGCATAGCTAAAATTAAGTGAAATGTGAAATCTCGAAATATCGCAAAAGTCACTAATTAAAGTTCGAAGGCATGCTTTCAGAATTTTATAGAATTTAATAGAAATGAAAAACGTCCAGCTCTTTTCTTCAAAATGCGCTGCTAGGTTGACCTCATGACACCATGCAAAATGGCTAATAAATATCCCACTAGATTCAATTCTTAATTTACGAATTTTTCTCCGTCCTAGCAGTGTGTGCGACAAGGAGAAATATCCAAATGGACAAACATTAAACACGTTCACAGGTATGAAAATAAGTAATTGTATGAAGAAGTACGAGCACTTGCTAATAAAAATTGCGGCCCTGAATCGGCGTGGGAAGAAGAAGGTTATCATGCATGTCTTGCAGACTTTATTCAAGCGTTTGAAGGTAAACGTATAAGGGTGAGTAAGAGTGAAGAGAGAGGGAGGAAAGAACTCAAAACCGATCTATGTGTACTCTTTTTAGCCGGCGTCCGTTGCCGCAGTCGAAATGAAATTCGGACTGAAAAGTGTGGATACTAACCTTCGTGTTCCCCCAATGAGTAAGGCGAGTTGGGTGATTTACACTTCTGATTACATGCAGCATGAAACCTTGAGCTTTTGCTTATGTTCTCAATGTATAAGTTTATATAATTTTCGGACATATCGTCATATACCTTCCTAAGGGTTATGATGCTTAGTTTTATTTAATTTAATACTTAATTTATGTATATTATTATTTATAATTTTTCAGCCAAGGACCAAGCCATAAGACTGACTTTCCTGTAATGTGGGTTAGATTGCCATATATAGTTTCAATAACTTCGACATCTGTCTGTTTAGGTTTTCGATTTAAATTCATCTTTTTTTCTTGAAGTTAAATAAATAATTTTTTTTTTTTTTTTTTGTTTTAAATTAGTGTTAACGTCTGTTTGCTAAGGTTTTTCTAAGGGCAGGACCACTTTTCATAGTACATATTTTTGTTTTCTGATTTTTTGTTTTCTGGAAGACTTAAAACGTCAAATGATGAAACTTTTTTTTTCGATTAAATTTGATATATATTTTAAATATTTTTTTGATATTAAAAAAGCTTTAAAGTGATTCAGATTGCGAATTTTTTCGTAACGTTTTTTTCAATGAAATTTGAAAAAAAATTATTATTTCTGGGGAATATTACTTTAAATATTTTGAGTAAAAAGCTTCAGATTTGCAATTTTTGTAAAACTGGTATTGTAAAAGAATATTATTTAGGAAGAATAATATCTAATTAAGTTTGAAGCAGGAAATTTTTATTTAATTTATTTTAATTTTAAATCCTTTAACAAAACATCTTCATTTTATCTACTTTAATCGAGCAGGTTTCTCTATTTTAACCTAGATATATTTTACTTTTTATCAGTTATATGACTATTCTTTTCTAAAATGATAAAAAGAGTATTAAAATAGAAGTAAAAGAAATAGCTTTAGAACTGACATCTATAATTATTCTGATCATGGAAGAGTATGTTTCATAAAAGTTGCATGTTTTAATAAATTTCAGCCTTTTAAATATGTATGTTTAACAGAAATAATAACCTATTATACTCCCTTTTCAATCTTGTGAAATTCTTAGCTTTTACCTTAATAGGCGATTTTTCAATGTAAAAGAAAAGCAAATCTTTAATATAACTTTGAAAAATATACCTTTTACACCTACGATGAAAATTCACGAACAGATCGTATGATTGGTGCTTACGAACTCTTAATTAAAACTTTATATTTTGGAAATATTTTAAATACAAAATCACTTACAACAAATAAGTAGTTTTATGTTATGAAAGGATGCATTTAACATTGTCATCGAAATAATGATCACAGTTACAAGTGCAACCAAGTGGGAACCACAGTTTCGTCATTGATTTATAAGTATGCAGGGATACTATAATTAAAGCTCCACTTTGAAATAGTCATAAAAGGAAAACTACTGGGCCAAATGTTAGGTCATGGGAATTAATTTTCCGCGAAAAACATAATTTCAAAACTCGCCACCAGGGAAAATGAAGCTCTATTCAATATTGTTAAACGAAATAAGACATGAAGACATCGGTTTAAAATGCGTTCAATGGTTCCTGAAACGTGTTACGAAGCACGTTCAATGTTGTGTCCACCACTTTCCGAAAG